AGCCTCATCACCGAACCTCCGAGGTCATATATTAAATCCCTTCACCGAGGAGACCTTCACGCCAAGGAGAACCTCGATAGACAAACGTGAAGGAGCGTGAGGAAGTGGGGCATATCGCCCCAGCAAAGAAGAGATGTCAAGCAGTCAGTGACGGAAGCACCCACCCCGGCCTGCAATAAAAAGCACCCCAGAAGGAGAATACCAGGTATGGCGGATGGCGCATGAGAAAGAGAAATGGGGGGAAACTGGAGATCCTAGATCAACCACGGACTCCGCTTTCGCATCCAATCAGCGTTATTTTAGACTTTGCGGAGAAGAAAGGGCTGGTTGAGCGGGACCCAAGGCCTCCCAAGAGGTGTACGCCATTCACTAGGGTGGAACCTACTTCTGTTTCCACCACAACAAGACCCATAACACAGGTGACTGCCACACTCTCAAGGTGGCTATCGAACGCCTCATTCAGAAGAGCCAACTTTCCCCCTTTGTTAAAGGTGCCCCATGGAATACCAGGGTGAACACCGAAAATAAGGGGAGATCCCGATGAAGAAGAGGGAGATCGGTAACCTTTCCGATGACGAAGACTCTGAGGAGCGACAACCCAGAAAGGAGCACATCAACCCCATCATTTTCACCGATAAGGATCTGCCAGGGCCCCCATCCCATGGGGACGACCTCGTCATCAAGTGTGAAATCAACATGTGATCATCCACCGCACATACGTCGACACGGGAAACTCGGTCAATGTCATGTGCCTCAACACCTTCAGACAATTGAAATTTGATCGGACATCCCTTTGCCCAATACAAACGCTGCTCTCTGGCTTTACGCGAGACTCTATATATTGACGCCGAAGGCATGGTAGCACTCCTCGTGGAAGTCGGAGATGGTTCCGAGACGGCCAAGGTCGAAATGGAGTTTGTTGTGGTCAACCTATATTTTGCCCACAACATGATCTGGGCTGACCAATACGGGAAGACATGGAGACAATCATCTCAATGAAGCACCTCTGCCTCAATTTTCAGCCTCCACCGGCATCAGGTATGCGAGGGGCAATCAGAGGATCGCCAGAGCTTGCTACCTCAAAATCACCTAGAAGGTCACCAGGTCAGAGCTCCGAGTTGTCACAATCAACATGGAAGTCAGCAAGGAAGATGAGCACCCTAGAGCAGAACCGGCTGAAGAAGTAGAGGAAGTGCCCCTCGATGCCACAAGGCCCGAGAGGGTACTGGAAATTATTATTCGGCACTTGCCCCAGACCGAGAGGGCCAACATTCTCGTAGTCCTCGGGGCGCATTCTATAATCTTCGCACGAGAACCTACCCGAAGACAGTCGGGAATCAGCTGGAAGGTGATCACACGCAAGCTAATTTAGTGTAAACTACGACTCAATTAGTTCTAATTTACACTCTTGAAATTCTTTTAGTTGAAATGTAATCCGTGCATAGTTTTCTGGTCAATTGACGTTATACGTAGTATAAACTACGACTCAATGAGTTTTAATTTACACAAATTCTGACAAATTTGATAACACAGTTGGCGAATCTATTATTACTTGACAAATGATTACTAACCTAATATGCAGTCAACATGTCACACGTAATATGTTGAACATCTTATGTGTGTAGACGGAGGAATGAGTAACTATAGTTAAGGTCTAGCATGTTTTTGGAGATACAGAACCATTAACCTTGGAAATTCTATTTGGATTGATATATGACTATCAATTTTCTTATAAGAGACGTGGTGAATAGTCTTCCATGAAACAGTTTAATTTGTGAGTCATAGGGTAATAATTATGGTTAAGCCAATATTAGCTAATTCATCGTTGATACTATAAGGTGTGGAATATGAAGTGATTATCAAGAAAGTACCTTCTCTCCGTCTCATTTTAGTTAGTCAAACTTCACTACAAAAAAAACACGGGATTGGCAAGGATTTTGGCACGGATTTGACACAGATTTTGGCAAGGATACGCCAAATCCGTGCCAACATACAACACTTTGGCACGGGCTATTTAGCACGAAAAATTGATAAGTCCGTGCCAAACTCCGTGCCAATACCGCCTTGTTTTTTGTAGTGCTTGACTTTTCAAGTCAATGAAGTCTAAATTTGATTGATTATGTATTTATATAGAAAAAGTATTAATAATATGAAAATGATGTTAAAATGTTATATGTTAAAAATAATATCATAAAAAATAAAATTATTAAATTTTGCATAAAAATATTAATTAAAATAATTGGTCAAAGTTTATCAACTTTGACTAGAAAAGTGAAAGGCGACTAACTAAATTGGGACCGATTTTTTTTTTTTGAAAGGAGGTAGAATGATTTTTGAATTTGGATGTAGCACGTTTCCATCCTTTAACTTGATAAGTGTAGACGTGTAGTCTCTGTATAAATGTTTTATGACAAATGTTACTTTTCAATTACATAAACAAGTTCAAATTCATGAAATTAAATTAAATACTTCGTACTATGTATAATTAAATCAAACACTTCTTCATATCCCTATGGAGACGATATAATGGCTTTTGAAGACTTCAATGCTTGACTGGATCACTTCTGTAAGACGTCGTTAATTAATCAGGATTTTGAAGGCTTTATCCAAGTTCCTAATACTCCGTACTTCATATACTTGAGAAAGGTCAGGATGTTTTTAGGACTGTAATTCGTCTCAGACCAGACCAGACCAGATTAGATAGACCAGACCAGGATAGTTATAAAAATACAAAGAAACCAGACCAGACCATATCAATGATAATGACCACCTTCTATTTGTATTTGATGTTTTTAATTTAACAGTAGAGACAAGACAAAAACTGGACTAGTATATAAAATACTCCGATATATACATGGCGCTAGGGCCGGTTTCGGGTCCCGAACCGATCTGACCAAAGCAAGAACCGAACCAACATTTCGGTTTTACTAAACATCAAAACCGAACCAATTATTGACCGGGTACCGATTGGTCAGGACCCAATTTTTCGGGTTGGTTTATCGGAAACTGATAAGAAACCGAAATGTTTCAAAATTGTATAAATATAGAACTGGTTTTAACAATACTAAGCCCAAAATAAGTTTATGATCATTATATTAATTTGTTCACTCTAAGCCCATCGGCTGGGAGCTTACCGAGTTATAGTTTACTCTAATTTTTTTTGGGAGTATAAACCGAGTTTGAATCGTTTTTTTTACCGGGTCCCAATTTTCGGGTCCCATTTTCAATCGGTTCGGTTCAGTTCGATTTTTTTCCAAAGCGGTTCGATTTTTTTCAGTTCGATTTTCGGTTTTTCGGTTTAAATTGCCAACCATACATAGCGCAATATGCGTAGTGAAAAATAAATATAAGCACAATTTTTATATCTTCTTTAATACAAAGTATAAAAGAAAACATGTTTCAACATTAAACCGTCACAAGCCAAACACCTTATTATTCGATGACATCATTGTGACACGTACTCCCGAAGAGGGGTCACATGGTCGAAATTCATTCTAGTTTAAAGATGTTGTCGTTTAACATAGAGCAAATGCTATAATTGGTCACTGAGCACAGTTGAAACAAAAAACAAACCGTTACGAGTATGATGTCATTTAAGAACTTATGATGTACTCCGTATTAATTAATATCTCTGTTCTAAAAATCGTTGTAGGCGCCCGACTAGTCCCCGCCTAGGCGCTAGGCGGTGGTCGAGCGCCCCGATTTTCGTCTAGGCGCTCCGACTAATTGGTTTGCCGTCTAGGTGAATTAGTCGACCGCCTATGGCGCCTAGTTGCCCGCCTAGAGCGCCTAATCAGCCGCCTAGACCGTCTAAATTCGCCGAACATTATTACTTTACTTTTAAATTTTAATTTTCTAAGCGATATATGTACTTTAACTTTAGCCATGAATATAAAGAAATGAAGTTTTAAATTAAGATAAAACTATATATGTTTGTGTATATACCTAAATTTTATCAGTAATTATATTTATATCATAATGAAGTTAAGTGATTAGTTATCATATACTGCGTATGATTAAATGTGAGAATTCTATCTTTCATGTTTGTTAATGTATATGTATTTGTATTTTATACACACAATAATACAATATTACTTATCAATGCAAAAATATATATAAAAATTCAATTTCTATATCTCCGACTAGTCCCCGACTAGGCGCCCGCCTAGCTAGCCGCCTAGGCGCTAGGCGCTGGGCTGGCGCCCGACTAGCGTCTAGCGCCTTTTAGAACATTGATTAATATATGTCCAATGATATTGTTAATATTATTTAAAAAAAAAGTTTTGTCCAAAAAAACAAAAAAATTTAAAAAATGTTTAAATATGATTTAGTCCCTGTAAATATAGTACTCCCTCCATCCTAAAGAAAGATTTCCACTCTCCGTTTTTTGACCTCCCATATAAATGTTCTCATTTTCATTTTAGGTAACCATTAACAACTTTAAATGACAAATTACTCATTAAATATTAGAAGTAATATATTTATAACATCATAATTATCAACGCTATATAAATTGTCTCGAGACATCCTTCCCATGACAAAACAGCACGGCTTTTGACAATATAACAATGGGCTTGGCTTACTTTTATGATTATTGCATTTAAATACTTGAGTTTGAAAACATGCTTAAAAACAGTACTCCATATAGGTCCCAAAGTTTGGTGTCTTGGCTCTGTAATTTGCCGCAATTAAACTGCCGCACTGTCACTATATATATATATAGTTATAAGTTATTCGATCTTCATATATTCTCCAAAGCACTACTATACATATAAGCTTTTCTAGCTTATTCCATGGCTCCAACACAGTCTTTAGTTTTCACGGTGAAGAGGCGGACGCCGGAGCTTGTTTCTCCGGCAGAGCCGACGCCTAGAGACGTTAAGTATCTATCCGACATTGATGACCAGGACGGGTTGAGGTTTCAGATGCCAATCATACAATTCTACCGCCACCATCCGTCCATGAACGGGAGGGACCCCGTGATGGTGATCCGGGATGCACTGGCCAAAGCTCTGGTGTTTTACTACCCCTTCGCCGGGAGGCTCCGGGAGGGTGTTGGCCGGAAACTTATGGTGGATTGCACCGGGGAGGGGATCGTGTTTATCGAGGGCGATGCTGACGTCACGTTGTCGGACTTCGGAGATGCCCTACAACCTCCATTTCCATGCGTGGAGGAGCTTCTTTATGATGTTCCTGGCTCCGGTGATGTTCTCAACTCTCCTTTGCTTCTCATTCAGGTACATACACGTCAATACGTGCTTATACCATTTCATGTGATGCCATAAAAGATGGGACGATTCCGTAAATAAACATAAAAGGGAAATTGAAAAATATAATACCAGTATTTCAATTTAAGGTTGGTCTAGTCTTCTACGGTCAACGTATATTGTTTATACGGAGTAATATTTTAAGGTATACGAAGTATTACATATATCTAACTTTTATCAAATTCTAATTTTTTGTGACTTCATAAGATTTTTAATGTAATTTTTGAACATGTAAATTTTATTATTGACATAAAGCTCTTCCCAGAACCGATGAGGGAGTAATATTTGTTAAAATTATTGACCATGGTTTACAAATCAAAAAGGGGTATCAAAGATGCCCAGAATCGATGACGGAGTAAAATTTGTTGAACCTTTTTTTGTTTGTTCGGGGTGTGAAGTGGCTCTTTTTTTAGTTCTTGAGCTTACACGATCGATAGAGTGCCTATTTGACCCTTTGGCCCGGATTTTATTAGATTGTAAGGCACTTGCCATTTTATTGAGCTACACTACTCGTATTACATGTAATAAAAAAATGTAGAGATAATTTCATCAATAGGAGTAAAACGTGTTAGAAATATCAAACTAGAAGTGGATGTTTACAATTCTTTGAATAAGAGTCTTTGGGTGGAGCTGCCGCCGGAGTTGTCGCTAGAACTCCGCCTCCACTCGCAGCTACTATCTGCTGCCGTGGTATTAACACCTATTGAAGGGAAAATAGTATGCTTTACTCATATTTAGGACAATTACATAAAAATGTTCTGTGTTTGCTGTGCAGGTCACCCGCCTGAGATGTGGTGGCTACATCTTCGCATTGCGTCTGAACCACACCATGACCGATGCATCAGGTCTTGTCCAGTTCATGACCGCCATTGCTGAAATAGCGCGGGGCGCCCCTGCTCCGTCGGCGCTCCCAATTTGGCAAAGAGAACTCTTAAGTGTGCAGAAACCTCCACGTGCCACGACGGCGGCGTACACCCACCACGAATACGACCAAGTTTCGGACTCAAAGGGAACCACCATACCCACATGTAAGATGGTGCAGCGTTCTTTCTTCTTTGGACCGACGGAGCTCGCCGCTCTCCGCCGTCTCCTCCCCATCCACTTATCCAACTCCTCCACCTTCGAGATTCTAACGGCGTGCCTGTGGCGCTGCCGCACTGTCGCCTTCCGACCTGACCCGGAAGCGGAGGTTCGGATGCTTTGCATCGTCAACGCCCGGTCCAGATTTAGTGACCCTCCCTTACCGGAAGGCTACTACGGCAATACGTTGGCGTTCCCGGTGGCGTTAACCACCGCGGAGGAACTGATGAAGAATCCATTGGGATATGCGGTGGAGCTGGTGAAGAAGGCCAAATCTGATGTGAGCGAAGGGTACATGAGGTCGGTGGTGGACATGTTGGTACGGAGGGGGCGGCCACATTTCATGGTGGTGGGGACCTATCTTGTTTCTGATGTGCGACGGGTCGGGTTCAGCGAGGTAGATTTCGGGTGGGGCAAAGCGGTTTACGGCGGACCTGCTAAAGGAGGTGTGGGTGACTTCCCTGGACTTGGTAGCTTCTATATACCATGCAAAAATGGAGTTGTAGTTCCAGTGAGCTTACCTACCTTTGCAATGGAAACATTCATCAAGGAGTTGGATGATATGCTAATAAAGAGACACAATGAAAGTTACACTCACATCAGATCTGCACTTTGATTTCTTAGCTAAATAAGGATGGAGTATAGTCACTGCTAACTCACTATCTTAATTTTTGGATTTGGAATAGCCAAAAAATAATTAGTTCATACACTATTTCATCCCATTTACCCCACCTTATCAACTTTTCTTTTCATCTTCCAAATACTCTGTCATTTTCCTTTTTTTCGCAGTTCTTATTATTTCTGTTACTATTACATCAATCTAATTTTCTTATTTTACTGTCAAATGTGTGATACTTCGTGAGAAATTAAAATGATCTGTTCCATTTGGTGAACGATTGTGTGGTTGCCTGAGAGGTGGCATAACTTTAGAATCAAGTTTAGCAAGAGGAATATTGTTGGAAATATATATGGCGATATAAATATATGTACTTATAAGTTTGGGGTAGTTTATTACTCCGTAACATTTTATGATTAGTGCACTGGAAGGATCCCAATAGGGATTTTTCTAAGGTATATACCCATAACGGTAAAAGAGGGAATATAGTGGCAGAAAAAGAACGTGGAGACATAAGTAACGAAGAGTGAGGGGTCAGGATGGCGAAAAGAAGAGAATAAAGAGTAACCGAAGAAAGAGTGGACGACAGTTAGGAATTTGGGCAGAACTTGGTGGGAGAGAGATAATCCTTTCGAATTGATCTCAGATTGTATTTTCTTCTTTCGTTTCTTCTATTTTTGGGTACGTAAACTCTGTTATTGTAATTCCAGACTTTCAGTGGCAATATACGTCATATTTAGTGGTTGTGTCGATCAGTTTCTATCATTATCATTATCGTTATATGCTAGCTTTCCAGAAAATAGCAAATTTTGGACAATATCATGTCATGTGCAAAAATGGTTTCATGAAAAGTAAGATGTTTTATGTATAATACTCCCTCTGTCCCTAAATTTACTTCCATTTCGCTTTTCGAGAGTCAACTTAAATTACTCTTAAACTCTTACTTTTTGTATCAAAACTTTATGAAAATTGATTTTTTTTTGCAGGCTTTGTAGCGGGTTTAATGTAGTTTCTCAATATGTAAATTTTATTTACTAAAAATAATCCGAGTTTTCACAGGGATCATTTAACTTTATCGTCGGTCAACCTTCGTAATCCGCAATTGGAACAACATTCAGGGACGGAGGGAGTATTATTTTCGAGACATTAGATGTGATTATGTTGTTTTTAAAACAGGAATTACTACAAGTGCTCTCCAATCGGATGTCACGTGAAGAAGAGAATTGAAAGGGAGAATGAAGATCTAAGTTATGTCATAACAACCTACTGAGCGTACCCATAACCATTGAAGGTCACCTGACCATCACAACAAAGGAGAAACTCACTGATGCTACGTTCCCATCCAGAATGAAAAAATTCACATTATAAAATTACCATCCTTTTCCCTCTAAATAAAACTTTCTGCAGTTTTTGGCATTGTTGTAGTGAAATTGGATGGGAACACAGCATTATTCAGAGATAAATGATCACTTCTATGAATTCTCCCTTTATGTATCTAAATATAGCAAGATTAGGAATTCCCTTGTATGTCCTTTGCATTAACCAGCTAATCAATAGCTAAGTTATTAACCAGACACCTCTAACAACAGTAGGAACTTTCAAGTTTCAGCTTGTAGCAACATACTTTTAGGTTCAGTTTGCAGGTAGCTTTTCAGAGAGCACAAAACAGACCCCAGGAAAAAGCTTAGCTAATCGAGAGTCAGAACCATTTGAGGAGAAGAAAGCTAAGGTACATACATGCTCATTCTTTAGGTCTAAAACCATCACAAGTGCATTATAAGTGATATTTTCCCTAAGATTATTTATGAAGCAGTTTGATAGGGGAGGAACATGGTAGAGCTTGTTTGCTATAAGGTACACATGCATTTATCACAAGTCCTTTCTCATTCAGGAATTTAAAGTAATTTTCTAGAAAACATATCTGTTCCTTTTGATATAAGCAGTGGCGGAGCCAGAAATTTATGATTAAAGGGGCCGGTCCTTAAAAATTTTACATTGTAGAGGCCAAACTTTGAAATATCAACACATTTTCTACAGATTAAAAGTATTTATACATATTATATACTTAAGATTTTTTTTCTTGCAGGGGCCGAGGCCCCCTCCAGCCCCTCCCTGTCTCCACCCCTGGATATAAGCATAAAGCATTAGAAGTTGCACTTCTTTTTTGAGTCAAACTGTCAAAGTGTTTCAATTTCCTCATCTACAAAACACTTTCTCATTGGAACTATGTAATCCCAAACGCACTCATGACTCATGGTCCGTAACTATTACCAGGTTCAATTTTGTCTCAAGGAAAAACTGTAGCAGCAGTGACCCTTGAAATATTGGTTAAACAATGTTTAATATAGCTTTAACCTCAATATAGATTACTGACGTGCACTTTGTCACGGTGCGTCAAAATAATAATCAATACAACACTAATACGTAGTATAGTGAAGTAGAGTTCGTATCCACAGGAAAATGAATAATTCTCTCTTTATAGAACTAGTCAAAAAGGGGGGATTTTGGGATTGTATGATTTAATCAATTAAGCACGAAGATGAACGACTTATATGTGATTTAATTCAAAGATAAAAAGAACTTGGCATTGCTACTTTCCACTTGTTGATATATTTTAGTCGATCATTTATCAAAACAAAAATCTAAGATATGAAAATTTAAATTAATTATATTGATTGACTGAAAATTTCAATCAATAACTACTGGTTTCAAATAGGGATCATAAGATCAATTATAAAAATTTAAAAGTGGGACGAGTGGGCCCAAATAATACCCTTACACCCTGACCTCTTATTGCGTACGCCTCAGAGCGCCTTATTGCGTATCCAATATTGCGTACGCCTCAGTGCAATATTGCATACGTCACACTCCCAGCGCCATATGCAGTGCCTTGTACGCCATAGTCCAGGAATTAGCTGAGGCGCGCCATTACAAACAATGTCTATAACTTATCTCCTCTCGAATACTCAATCGAGGAGTATATCCAATTCATCGAGGGTAGTTATTAACAACGACCGTTCATTAACAACCCTTACTATTAGTCAGGGTATCGAACACTGCCATATACCTATGTTGAAAGAATCGGACCGGACCGGGCGGGTCGACCCGGAACCCGGTCACCCGGCCTGCGATCCGGTCCGATCTACTACTAACCCGCAAACATCATCAAAACCGGAAAAGCCCAATGACCCGCGCATAGGGGTGGACAAAAATGCCGAAATATCGGTATACCGCACTTATCGTACCGAAAAATACCGGAAAATACCGAAATATTGGTATACCGTCATTTTTGGTACGGTATCATACCGTACCGATCTATTTCGGTACGGTAACGGTAAATGTTTTCAAATACCGCGGTATACCGGTATAATACCGTACCGACTCTCTACTCAACAATTACTTTTAATTCTAATAAATTGTAGAAATCCATTACAATTTTGAAGCCCAAAATTAATACTAAAGTTGGTTACAAATACAAAGATACAAAAATAAATGCCCAATTTCTCAAACCTACTATAACCTTATAGGCTTCTACTACGCTAACCTTAATGACTAATGAGTAATGTCCAATTGTCAAGAAACAAGTTCATCTTGTTCCAATTCAAGAGCTTGCAAGTCGTAATGGCTGGGCCGCTAAGTGGTTGACGAGTGAAGAGAGATACACTTATGTGACAAGTGTATCTACATAGGATTCCGCGAGTCAAGACACACAACTTTGTCCGAAAGTCTTATTCAATTTTTAAAAAATTATAAAAATAACTAAATACACGATATCATATTAGGAGTAAATGATTTTATATCCATGTTGTTTAAATAGTTTTATTTATTTTTGTTAGAGATCACTATTAGTTTAATTATATCTATATTGTTCAAATTATTTTAGGAAAATGTTTTACTTTTTAATATGTGGCATGTTGAATTGCTTAAATATACTAATAATTATTGTTCAATATTGAATTGACATCAATAGATTATTAATTGTATTTTGTAACATTTAAATAATGAATTAATATGTCGCTAGTAATAACGATTTAGTATATTTCGTTAGTCTATGATAATTTGTTGTATTGGGGAAGACATGCACGGTAATTTACCGATACCGTACCATTACCGAACCGAAACTTCGGTATACCGAAACTTCGGTAAGGTAAAGGTATGCAAATTTTGCATACCGAAAGTTTTGGTACGGCAAAGGTATGAGAAAAAATATAAGGTATACCGTACCGAACCACCCCTACCCGCGCACACCCGGGACGGACCCGAACCGGCTGCAACCCGCGTAGCACGTGAAAGTCATGAAAATGAATGGAGAGAGGAGGTTAACAGGACTCGAACCTGCACATGTGCCGCGGAACTTCAGCCTCCACACCAATTCGGCTATCAATGCTAATTGTGTACTGGTTTTGTTTTGCTTTACTTATACTATAAATATGTTTGTTTACTACTGCGTAACTTATTACTCCGTACGCAATTAGGAATAGAATAGGGAATACTAATCCTATCCTATACCTAAAAGCAATACATTGGAGAGAGAAATTTCTCCCGCCTAGGCAGTACACTGAAATGTAATTTCACTTCTCGAAAAATATTAC